ATATTTGAGTGTTTCAGCAGTTTGCCACAAGACTCTTTGAACCATAATATCTTTCAGCCTTTGGGTGATCTGAGCCTCTGTGCTTAACTTTTAATCATATCTATATTGTTTGTATTTCAGCTGACCCTCATTAAAATGTAACTGGATCATTTTATCTCTGTACTTCCTTGGGCATTATTTGTGAATCCATGGCTTGTAAATAGAGATAAGTTTGGGAAAAAATGAGTGTAAAAATTATTTGGACAAATAATGTGGAAGCATTTTATCTGAAGAGCTTCTAAGCAAAGAGGAAGGTGATCTTGATTCAATCATTTGTCAGTTTATGCAGTTACAAACAGCTAATGTTCCACTTGGAATAAAATAGTCCTGATTTTAAGGCTTTCATTAGTGTCATCTCTCACCTTTAAAATCCGTTCAGTCGCACTTTAATTTCTAACTTAATGTCACTGATAATCAAGGATTGTCCCTTCCTGTCATATTTAAAATTATAATTTGGTGTCAGTTTTGAGGATCCACATTCAAAGTTTTGAAGGCTAATTATGTACTTTGAATTAGTCTTTTACATAAATATTAGATCTTATCAGCTGATCAGCCTGGGATGTCAATCCAGGGTATCAAGCAACCTTACAAAGAAAAAAAATATTTAACATCAGTGTTCGAAAATGTATATTATTGATTGTCATGTTTGAAAGCTAAGAACATCCAATTATAGCCTCTCCTTTTAAGCAGGGTCCAATTTTAGACTTTAGTTTTATTTATGCAATATTCAGCATTTGTATAGTAATGATGAAGCCATGATAAATACTGTATATGGAACATAAAAAGAATTTGGTTTTGGAAATTCTCCTTCACTGTAGCTACTTGACACCTGCTAAAGCTTTTCTGCAAAAGGAAGGCAAGATTGAAAAAGATGAAGCAAGATGAGTAAGGTTGGGGTGACCAAGGGAAACCATGCAAAATCAGGCCTGCATTTAAGATCTCAGAAAGAAAAATTCTGACCTCTCCAGCAGTTCTAATGAGAGAGGCACTGATAACCAACAGGTTTCATTCATCAAGCAATAACCACTGAGCTTCAAGAGCAGCTTAAAGTGCAGAAACAGAAGTCCAAAGAAACATGGGAAATGGAGAGGGGGGGAGCAGTGGGAACAAACTGTCACAGGCATAATAAGTGATTGTACCTTGACTTAGATGTAGCAATTAAATGTATCATATGAGTTTGTTCTGTTTTAAAATACTCTTGCTAAATTGAGCTATATTGAGTATCAGACATTGTCAGACTTTTTGTATATAATGTCCCTTTCTCCTATTTTTTGCCCTCACAAACAACCCTGTGTCTGGCCCAGAGATAAGTGAGCTTCTGTGACTGAGGAGTTGCAAGAACCTGGGTCTCCGTGCTCTATTAAAGCAACTTAAGAGCCATGGTGATGCAGTGGTTAGAATGCAGTATTGTAAACTAACTCTGCTCACTGCTGGGGATTTGATCCTGACTGGCTCAAAGTTGACTCAGCCTTCCATCCTTCTGAGGTGGGTAAAATGAGGACCCAGATTTTGGGTGGCAATATGCTGACATATGTAAACTGGTCAGAGAGTTCTGTAAAGCACCATGGAGCGGTATATAAGTCTAAGTGCTATTGCTATTGCTTAAGCACCACCATTGCAGTAGAAGAGAGGAGACTCTGATTTCTCCCTTGGCAGTTTCCAACATTGTTCTATAGCCCTAATCCTGAACTTCCAGAAAGGCTTTTTGATGCAAACGACTCTAGGACAGAGGACATGGCTGTGAAATTTTCCTTTCAATAATTGATTGTGTCATTAGATTCAGGGGTAAAGAGGTGGTAATGATGATGGTGGGAACTAAAACCGAATAGCTTATGAGAGAGCAGCTTGAGTCTGAGGTGAGAACTGTTTGTGCAAGATATTAAAAAGTTCATTTTCCCAGTCATTTCCTGCAGTTTTTGTGATGAATATTGATGCAATGCAAAGACCTTACACTTCTGAGGTTTGATTGTGGCAAGGTAATTATACTATTAAATGCAGTCTAAACTTACCCATTTATTATTTGCAAAGATTATAAATTATTTCAGTCATTATTATAATGTCTGGATTATAATTGTTCATTCTTTCTAGGGGAAAAAACAGCACCTAAAGACAACAAACAGAAGAATTTACAAAATTATTGAAAAGCTTGCTGCTATAGAGAGCTAAAATGTATTTTGCTCATCTTTTGCATATTGGAGAGATATCTCTTCATAATTAGAAAGAAATAAGACATTAGGCAGAACTGTCTTATCTCATTCAGAATATAAGAGGGAAGCAAGAAAATATATAGAACAATTGGCTGGATATGTATGGAAGATGGAAGCTTCAAGAGGAAAAGTTAGCAATGGGTCAACTTACTGATTACAATTAAAACATGACAGAATTTTCAAAAATAGCCAATTTGTTATTCAATATTTTTGAATGGAACATTAGGATATTTCAGCCATTTCAAATTTATTTCATTTTAAATGCGTTTATTTGCTTTTTTTTTTTTTAAAAAATATTTTTAAATATAGTTTTTAATTGGGAGGGCCCTTATTATATTCCACACAATCATACAATAGTTCCTGCTTCTGAAAAGATTGCTCATTTCTGCTCAGTATCCAATAGTTGAGCTTAATTTTAAGGCTTCATTATTGATGTCTTGCAATATATGTCTGTAACTTTATAGTTTTTTATGTATATTAAAGTGTCTGCATATTCAAAACGTTGTTAGTTCGATACTGGTCTTTCCCTAGGCTATACTTGTAATGATTCATAAAAAGCTTGCCACACAGAAAATGCATGTAGATGCCAATGTGCAACACATTAAGATGTATCCAGACAAAAGTTTTGCTAGTCAATCTCACCCGAGGATTCTCTGAGTTACATTCCAATGAAATAATACAGCATTTGAATGTGGGACCTTCTCTCAGTCCTACATTGGGCGCTTGTAAAATTGGCAGAACTGGGGGAGTCACATGCCCTTTATTCATGATCTGAATGCTGCAAAAGACAAAATCAAATGTAAGATATTATTGTGATTAAACCACTACAACATTTATTATATATCATACTGTGGGTTTAAGGAGAAAGACCAAGAAAGAGGGCAATATGGCATTAAGAAAGAGTGAAATACTCTTAGAACCTTTTTTGCATACAAATGACTAATGTAACTTCTCGATGTCAATATTTCTCCAGAAAAAAATCTGGCTCATCATCTTTTCACAATAAAGTGTTGGAACATAGTTTATCATGCCAATAGACAAGAATACACCTGCTGAATAAGTAAAATGTTCAAATTAATCACAATCAGTGCATGTTTCCCACATTGTATCTAGAGCAATCCTATTTTATTATGAAAAAAAGTACCTTGGGTTTTTTATTATCAGAAATATTTAATTATTTAATATCCTGTTTTGAAATTACAGGAGAGACATATTCAAATTCTCTACCATGTTGTGCCAATTTTCTATCATCAAGGAAGAGATTTCAAAACATTGTTATGCAAATTTGTTCCTGCCTAGTAGGCTAGTTGACACCATGATTAAACTATGTACTGCAGTAATAGACAAATCCAAGAAACAATTCAAAATAGAAACAAAGTTATAACCTAAAATTATGTTTTGGATTCACTGAAGTGTATTCATTCTGGAATATTTAGGCATGTAGATAATCTGTTTTATATGGATTTCTTCAATATCTGAATTTATCCCAGGTAACAAGACTATATGATTTTTAATGACATAGTATGAATACCAGTTATTTAAAGCTATGATCATTTTGTATAAAAACAAAAAAACAAACCACATTTAAATAAAAATATAGCTGAGTTTATTTTTTCTACCATGTACAGAAGTCTCCCTTTGCACTGGGGAGGGTGTGGATGAAGATATATTAGTTAGGGAGGGAAGAAACCTGCTAGTTTTCTTTCATAATTAATTCATTTTTCTGAGTTAAAGCATTATTCATTATTAATAATCCGAAGACTTAATTAATTGTGCATAGGACTTGATCCTAACTGCATCATCAGAATGCTAAAATTCACAGCTATTGAAGCGTAGGTATGACTGTTAGAATCAAGGAGAATATAGTTTTTATATTCCACAGATGACAATAGTTCCAGTTATGTTCCTGCTCAGATTCTAGAGTTTGCAGAAAAGTATTTTATTTAGTTTTGTAAAATATTTTATACATTTTTCTATCAGTTTTCATTCAGTTTGAATGAATGCAAATTCTTTTAAAGAAGAAGATAATTTCAGTGCATAGGGTACTTCAATGCGTTTATTTTATTATATGGTTGTTGACTAGTGTGTCTGTAAATATTCTTACACTGTAGGCTGATCTTGCTGGTGGTCTGCTCCTCATTTTCCCAAGCTTCATTCAAATCCCAAGGAAAAAAATGTCATAAAAGAACACCTTCCATAGCACTTTTTCAGTGTGGAAACTGTTCATTCCAGCATGGCACCAGAAAAATGGAAGAATATTTGAGAGAGGGAGAGGGAGAGATGGATGGATGGATGAACGATAGATGGATAGATGGATAAATGGATAAATGGATAGATGGATAGATAGATAGATAGATAGATAGATAGATAGATAGATAGATAGATAGATAGATAGATAGAAATAGATGATAGATGAGACCTATTGTAGTATAGTGGTTAAGGTGCCACACTTGAGCTAGAGTATAGAAACATGTCCATACCCTTCTATGGCTGCTTTGCCAAGAATTTATCTAATGTAGCCTGACTCTTATTTACTTGCATACTGTATATTTTTGGCTTATAATAGAATAGTTTCCTCCTTCTTAGGGTATATATGTGGTTCATCTTATAATGTCTTATTTCCATGCCAAAGTTGTCATTTGATTCTGAAAATAAATAATAGCAGTTAAATTACACCTCCCTCTCATTCCTCTATAATATCCTTCTGCTGATAGAATGATAAATAATTTACACACTGGGTCTTGCTTTTTTCAGATAAACAAAGCAAAATCACCCCAGTGGAAACTAATACTTTGGAATATTTGTGACTTCATAAGCAACCTGAACACTCCAGAAGAAGAAACGGGTGATCCTGAAGAAGATTTTATGATGAGAAGACAATTTGCTTCTACTTCTGAGAGCTTCACTTTGGAAGCAATGTTGACACTGTATCAGCTTCAAAAAGTCTGCCACTCCAGAAACGTACAGCAATGGGAGGTAATGTTAGTAATTAGCATCTTATTATTTTATCTGATATTGTTTGTATTACAAGAATGTAGTTAATTATTTCTATTTGGATAATTACTTGGAAGCATATTTAGCAAGTTACTAGTGAAATCTATCATTTTAGCAAGCACAGGCAGTTTGATATTTTTATCCTTAGAGCACATTCACAGTTTTACTGCTAAATTATTAAGACAAATTAATGGGATTTCAGTTTAACCTACTGTAAGGTTTCAGGACCTATTGAGACCACTAGAGTAGTCATCCATTTGTGAAGCAAGGCTTCAGAAAATCTGCCATTAAGAATGTGCCAGAGTATTTTATTTGTATGGAAATGTGTGTGCTACCCTTTTAGTGCCAACATGCTACTCATTACAATTGAAAACATATTGCAAAACATATATTCAGCATTAATAATAAAAAAGTAAAAGTATGGAGGCAGAAATGAATGGAAAAAACAACTTTTTAAGAAAACAAGTTTTTTAATTCTTTCTTTTTTCTTTCTTTCTTTCTTTCTTTCTTTCTTTCTTTTTTTCTTTCTTTCTTTCTTTCTTTCTTTCTTTCTTTCTTTCTTTCTTTCTTTCTTTCTTTTTTAGAATACAGTGAATGACTAAAATTAGCTTAATTCTCCAGGTCATCACATTGAAACAATTCTTTATAAACTTTCCTCATTGTGTTCTTGTTTTTTTCAAATTAATTAATTGTACTATATGCATCCCTATTTTTGCTATGAAGCAGAATTCAGGACAACTTGGGCAATATTCCTCAGAAAAATTGTTCCAGAAGAAATAATGATTCCATATTATCTCCTTATTGCCAGCAGTTGCTCCAACAAGATATTTATGATCCAGAGAATGCAAGTCAAGATAAAGATCTGATGAAGAGAAAAACTCCATACATCCTGAAACGACAATTACACGCTAACAAAGCCCGACGGCCATACATATTGAAGAGGAGTTCATATTACTGATTCAGCCTTTAAAATAATGTACATGTAGTTTATAACTAACTATGCTTTATGTCTCCCTTATTTCAACCTCAAATCTTATGTGTGGAAATATATTATGGAACGCAATCAAGATGATAACATAACTGTGTATTTTTTTGCTATTATTGTTAGTTGATTGTGATGTTTTTCCTACTTAAAATTGACTGGACAAATACACTTACAAATAAATCTAGTTTCTAAGCATTATGTATTGTATGCCATTGATAATATTAAAGAATTGGCAATGCTATTTACTCTATACTGCATACCTGTTTCTACAAGTATGAAAGCATAGTTATATAAAAATTGCTCGTTTTATCATGTGCTATGTGATATACTATCCAGTCTTCATAAGCAAACAGATAATTACTTAAAATATTATTAATAATGAGTATTCCCATTAAATAATATAGAATTAATAAATTAATAACATCCCACCCAAATTCATTTGCTTGCATTCCAGCATAAGCTTATGGAACAGATGATGGTCACTGTTCAGAGTAAGTTAGGCACATTTAAATAATTGACAAATCAGATATTTCCTGATCAACACAATTCATGAGTAACAAAGGTTCATTCTCTTCAACAACACTGACTTCCATATACATAGGTTGGCAAGGATAATTCTTAAGTATATTAAAATAAATGCTAAGTTCATATCTTGTATGCATTTATGTCCATTGGACACTTGTTAGATGGAAGGGTTTAAGATGTCCAAAATGGAATATAAAGTTTGGAGAATATTAGTGGCATATTGGTTAAACATCAGGGTTTTTTCCCTACAGCTAGTAGGAAAAACCACCTAACTATAGCCAAATATATTGTTGTAGCAGTTAAAGCAAGGTAACAACTAACACCAACCATTACATGACAATTCTTTGATTCCTTTTTTTTAACTCTTCAATTTTATCTGCTTGTATTTATTGCTTATCTCTCATTGTAGACAAAGAATTTGACATTTGAATTGGAAATGTGATTCCCTGTTATCAAAATATAAGGCAGATTTGAAAAGTGAAGGAGAAAATGGCTAAATGCTTGTTATATAGAAAAGGATAGATATTATATAGATATAGATACACATATATACACTAACAATTGAGGAACCTTCTCGCCCCTTCTTTGGGGTTCATATTATAAAAATGCATCAAGATGAGCCTCAGCTAACAATGTTGTCGTGACAGTTCAGTAGCAAAATCTGAAACCAGATTTCTTTGATTCTATTACCCAAGTTGTGTCTTCTATTAAATGTGACATTTCCCTCTCTGTTTTTCATCTGTATTCAAACACCTTATGATTGTTTATAAAAACTATAAAAGTGGCATGCCTTATTCATAACATCTAATGCATGGATTTTCCTTTCTGGCCTATATTACCCAAGGAGGGCTTGTTCCAGAGATTTTAAGTTCTGAACCAGCTTAACTGAATCCCTAAACAAGGCAAAGGACAGTTGCATAACTAGGAACCAGCTATTACACTAGAAATGGGCTATCAATGGCTTGCAAGCCATGTGAGTCCTTCTGAAGCTTCATTAGGGCACCAAAGTTCCCCTCCAGCATCTTGATATTGAGCCACTAAAGTTTGGTAACAGATAAACCGTACATTTTCTCCTCAACCTAGCAAAAGAGTCAAAAGACCTCGAGAAGACAAAATGCTTTGCTTTGTAGTCTTATTCCAAAAAATTGGGAGGCAGAGCTATGGCCTCCCTCTTCTCACACATTGTTCTTGCCCTCTTATACATACTGTACCTCTACTAATCTTTTCCAGATTCTAAAGGCCCCTTTTTATACTTCCTACTGTCTTCATACCTCAACTTCACTGAACTTTAATAACATTTGTTTAAGTTATTGAATATTCTTCCTCTACAGTTTTGTATTTGTTCTTTGCATATTCCATTTATAAAATATATGTTGGGTTACCAGAGGCATAGTTGGGTTATCAAATTAGATGGCATAAGCAGTACTTCTGTATAGATCAATGAATTAAATAGTATCTCTGCCAGGAATACTTCTATTTCAAAGTACAAAGAAGACCTCCGGTACTTTTATTGCCTGGAATTCTGGAGTATGCAAATATACAGTATCTATAGGCATATTTGCATAAAAAATAGACTCCTTTTGAAAATGTTTTTGTTATAAACATTGCATTGCTAAATAAATTGCTTTCCTCTTTTTCATAATTTTCATAGTGCAGACACATTGGACATGTTCCAACACTGACTCTCAACCATGTCCGCAAAAGTGTGGCAAGGGAGGGAAATAACAAAACATAGCATGGTCTGCCACTTTCACACTTTGCATTTGTATGCAACTTCATGAAGTAAATATGAAACAGTAGAACATTCACTATGATGGCACAATATATTTTAATTATCTTGGTATCATCTTAGCTTGCTCCATAAACTTATGTTCCCCTCCCTCCCTCCCTCCCTCCCTCCCTTCCTTCCTTCCTTCCTTCTCAAAAACCTCAATATAAAAACAAAAAGACTAGTTTTTCAAAGAAGTGCATAATATACATTAGCAGTTTTACTAAATGTATCAGTTATGGTAATATTTTAATGATACGGATATTAAACATTATTGTTGGTAATACTTTTTACTGCTAAACTGTAAAATAACAAGTAAAACCTAAATTGAGTTGAAGCAATATTTATTATGGGAAGAGTCTACCTATAAGCTGAGAGAGAGAGAGAGAGAGAGAGAGAGAGAGAGAGAGAGAGAGAGAGAGAGAGAGAGAGAGAGAGAGAGAGAGAGAGAGAGAGAGAGAGAGAGAGAGAGAGAGAGAGAGAGAGAGAGAGAGAGAGAGAGAGAGAGAGAGAGAGACAGACAGACAGACAGACAGACAGACAGACAGACAGACAGAGACAGACAGAGACAGAGACAGAGACAGAGACAGAGACAGAGACAGAGACAGAGACAGAGAGACAGAGACAGAGACAGAGACAGAGACAGAGAGACAGAGAGACAGAGACAGAGACAGAGAGACAGAGACAGAGAGAGCCCCTGGATATTCTACTGGAGATTTACTGCTTTGTCCTCCATCTCTATTCTTCTATTCTTCTGTCATGTGTTCTTTTATAATTTGGTTGTGGAGTTCATTGACCATTATGTACCACTAATGATATATGTTCTTCTGGTGGTCTACTGCCCTCTATTCAAAGATTTTTAGGTGTGCTAACTAGAAAACCCATGGCTTTTGCAAAACTCTTAACTTCAGCAGTCTAGAGGTACTTGAGTAGAAACAAGTTTGGACATACCAAATAGAAATAGATTCTTCCTTAACAAGTTGTCAACAGCCACTTTCAGAGAATACTTTGACCTTGGCATAATATCTTTTCCCCACTGGAATCACTAATGCCCAGCTCTAAGCAATAAGCAGGTTGGTATTGAAATAATTGGAAAAGACTGAAAATATGAGTTGATTCCATTTCTTTTTATCACATACACACAGGTTTTGTTGTAAAATATAATAAACTAAAACTAAATCTTGAAATATCTACATACAGTACATTATCTTTCCCTCTTCTCTCCTGTCTTCACATGGTTATTGCACAGTTGCTGCTGCTATTATCATTGGTAAGTAAAGTAATGGAAAAGTATGTTTTGTCAAAAACAGGTTCTATTATTCTGGATTCCTTTGCAAGGATCTCTGTGGACTAAGAGTCATCTGCATACTATCCTCTTCATGCTTTTGATAGCCATTCTCCAATGGCATCATCACTGTTACTTACTTTTGGCTCTATAGGCATCTCTCTATAAGATTTGCAAAACAACTCAGAGATGGTTTGGGTAGGATTGTCACTTTGGCAGCTTGCCTTTGGCACAATGAAGCAGCAATTCTAGGCAAGAGATGAGAAGCACAATGAATGGCATTTGGCTGCAGTTCACTATTCATCCCATGTCACCAAGTCAAATAGCTGCTTTATTTTTCCTCATGGAAGGGTTGGCCTTGAACAGATTTATTTAATTCTATTCAACTGATAATGCTGCCCACTTGCTATGTATCTCTATTTAGAAATATCAGCTACAAATACAAGTAATAAAATAAAGAAAAATAAAATAAAGCACTGAGAACCAGACCCATATATAGTTACAACTGGCTTATATAGCACCCTGGAGTAAGAACAAGGACTTCAGAGTCTTTTTAAAGATTAGCAGGGTCAAAGTCAACTGAATTTTTTGGGAGGGAGACTGTATCATAGGGCAAGACTTCTTCTGGACCACATAATGTTACACTATTTAATTGATGGGATCCAAATATTACACTCTCTTGGGTCTAATCAGACAAGCTTAGATAATTGAAGGCAGAAGGTTTTGTACATATCCTTGGTCTGTGTCATGTAGAATGTCATAGAAAACCAATAGCACTTTGAATTTTACCTAGAGGTCCCTTGGTAATCAGTGCAGCTCACAAAGTAGTTGTGTTACATGGGTAAACCAAGATAGGCCAATAATTTCTTGCACTCCCACATCCTGAATTAATTGCAGCTTTTGAGTGGTCTTCATGGATAGCCCATGAAAAGCATGCTGCAATAACATAGATGAGACAGCTACAATTTTGATAAGTTAACAACTCATCACAAATGTTGCTTACTCTTCAAGTATTATATTTTTATACATTTTAATTAGATAGTAGCAGATCTCAAATGTTGATCCATACTGCCTATCAATCTGGTCACTCTGAATTTTTCTATTCTGAGAAAGAAACAAGGAAAAGAATGTGTCTATTTTTTCCACATTATATATAATTTGCAAAAAATAGAAGAAAAATGAGATCACTGTAGTATTTTGGAGTTTGAACTGGGCAAGTTTTATTTTCATTATGTAAACATTCCAGTTCCCTGGATGTGAATTTAATTTCATTTATGAATAAATGTTGTTTATAATTTTTTTTGTCTGTTATGGAGCTGCCAAATACTTCTATATATTTTCTAGCTGAATAATTCAACACTTAAGAACACTTTGTTCAAAACTGTCTTGTTTTACATTTGTTTAATCATCTGCCTTCTTGTCTAGTTTTTCCAGATCATACTGGCTAAATGTCACATTCTTCCAGTTCTGAATGGATTTATTCTTTTTGCAATTTAAATTGAGTTTTTCTGCCACTTGGCATTGATTTTTACTAGAGTAAGTTTTCTGCTTTTCCTGATTTGTTGTTTAAAGATTTCAACTCTAATCAGATGGGATTAGAAGCTAGAGAACAAGCAAGCCCATGAACCCAAGAGCCTGGGTACCACAGGATTTTCTTTTTT